AGTACAAGTCACTACAGGGTAAAACTTGATCAAATAATCAACAATGCTAACCCAATGCAGCCTTCTTGAAACAAAGAGCCAAAAGTGGCTTAGATTCTCAATGTTATCTGAAGTATAGAATTAAGAACTGCATCGCTCTCTCGGGCTTTGTACACTGGATAATGGCTCGATAGTATCTAGAATGAGAATAACAGTAGGTTTATGCAGGCAACGAAATGATATTTTGTGATGGAATATATTAATCTAATTTTATGGTTTGGATATTTTTAGCCTGATACTATGTAGGTTAATCGGCCTGGGAGAGTTAAATATACATTTTTGTTCTCCATGGAGTAACCTTGTTCTATCTCTTAGTATAGAATGGAATTGTGGTCGATGTCCATTATACCGAGACCGAATTTTCCGAAATACAAAAAGACGTCGCTTTACGAAGCAAAGGGCTTGCCTTGGGGAAAAATTTCGTATTGTTGCGGAGGCTTTCATTATGTATGAAAAAGCATGATGCAAAGATTTTCTGGTTGATCTCACTGGAAGACTACGGCCGATTCCCTTTCTGCGGTCGCGTGGTTCTAATATGAAATTCATGCTAACGCAGTCCACGAGACATCCTACGTCGTTTCAGGTGAAACCGTACAGCGCTTTTGCCCATCATATGACTGACACCATTAGAGTTAAGACTCATTCTTGTAAAATACTTAAGTAAACCCTAGGTCAAGAATAAAGTCTGACTCTAGCTTACATCTTATATATACTCGTGACTAAAAACAAAAATATGTGGATATAGACAGAATTATTTGGCTTTCCAAGAGTTATCAGTTGATGAAAAACTGTGCTAGAGAAGAGCGAAGATTTGGCGCAGAGATAAAGCATGTATGTATGCCGATGTAGTGTGTAGGGATATGGCCTGTCATAACACTTAACAGATCCGAGGACGGTGGTATTGGGAAAAACTCAATTCGGCCAGGAATTCCCCCTGGTAAATAGTTCGTAGAATATGAAGGTTGGCTTGTGATTGGTATTGGACTATTGACTCGGCCTTGCGCAAGGCGACGGAGCTTGGTGCATCCAACATTAGACTTAGGTTGGGGTAGAGAGAAAGCGATTGGTCAGCAGTAAGGGTGCATGATTCAGCCTATGCACGGGAGGAAGAGGCTAGCTTAGGGGCCTGCTATTTAAGATAACACGTTCGATATTATTTTAGTGTGCGATAGTAGTAAGAAGCAAATAAGGAGTGAGGAAAGGTTCGGCGTCGTGTAAAGCGGATCAAGCCGTTGGGATGGGAAAGAATTATATTGAGTCCCTACAACATCGTAAATCCCGAAAGATAGTAGTAATAGAAAGTGTTGGTAGGTCTAAATTAGAGTGGTCTCAAAGCTTAATATTTCAATTATCAGAGTACCCAAACATTCATGTAAAAATATGGTTATAGAGGTTTAACTCGCCTTGAAAGATACAGGCCCTGATCTAGCGAAATTTGAAGATGCGGTATATTGTTAGATTTACACAAGCGGCCGAAAGCCTCAGGATATCTAACATTATGGTCGCAATGCCAAGAGCTGTTGATAGGCAATCTTTATCAAAAGTGACTAAGAACTCAGGTTTTTCGGAACCAATGCTTTTCCCTGATGCAGCATTACAAATAAAAAAGCAATCCTTTTATGTAGGGCACTTTGATAAATACATAATGTGGAATGCTATTACCTTGGTATCATCTGATATGTTGCCACTGCCTCTACGAATTCGAGGACCGAGATGTGATCCTTTGGATTTAACCTGATCAGATATAATCCTGTTGCCTTCGTGAACAAAGTTACTGCTATTCAAAGAGAGCGATACATGGCCAGGCGAACTGGAAGACGTGTTAGATACTCTAGCCAAGCTAGGTGAAGCCGGTAGTGGGGACGGAGATGTAAATGGAAGAATAAAAGATATGGGTGGGGTGCTAGAGAACTGGTGTTGACGAGCCATTTCTACAGAGCGTGATAAATGTCGTTTGCGTGCTTCAGCAACACGTTCCGCCAGTTCAGTGACGCGGCAGAACTTCTCCGTAAGATGGGTCTGGGCAGTCTGAATAATAATGTAAAAGAGAATTAAATGCTAGGATAACTTAGGTAGTGAGTCATTGCTCCAAAAAAGAAGCTATACATTTTGGTTTTAGGTTCATATGATCGAAGTGGCTATTATATACTTACTGGATCATAGATAGAGAATAAAATCTATATAAATGCCATTAGCTCACGCATAGATAATGTTAGGAGCGAATAACGATTTATATGACAATGGTACGTGCCCGAAGCCAACCAACCCATACTTAAATTCATATATGATTTAGTCCTGGATGGCTAAGGCCCAAACAGTGTGTTTTATGAAGTGTCAAAATAAAAAGAACAATAGCTAATATGCACGCAATATAATACTCAATTACATCG